GCCCCGCTGGCAGTGACAAGCAGTTTCGGAACCAGAGGGAAGGAACAGAACAGCTCCTCCACCGGCTGCCAGAGCCTGGCTGGGGTGCGGGGAAGTCCTAGGGGCAAGGTGGTGTCTGCCAACCCTCCTGCTGCAGACACACGCTTCCCAGCTACAGCTCTGGAAGGTTCTCCAGGCCAAGAGTAATCTGGGAGAGATGTGGGGGCTGTGGGTTTGTCTGTTCCGGCCCAGATGCAATACAGAGTGTACCTGGCTCTCGGAGGTGTGTGAGGGGAACCCGCTAGGCTGGGGCTGGTCCACTCAGGACCACTGTTAGGTTTTAGTTCTGTTTCCTGAGAAGCAGCAGGAAGAAAGAAGCTCAAAACCACCATGTTTGCCAACCAGAAATCCTAAAAAAGCAATGTGTCCGAACAAGGTCTTTTTTTTTTTTTTTTTTTTTTTGACAGGCAGAGTGGACAGTGAGAGAGAGAAACAGAGAAAGGTCTTCCTTTGCCGTTGGTTCACCCTCCAATGGCCGCCGCAGCCGGCGCGCTGCACTGATCCGAAGCCAAGAGCCAGGTGCTTCTCCTGGTCTCCCATGGGGTGCAGGGCCCAAGCACTTGGGCCATCCTCCACTGCACTCCCTGGCCACAGCAGAGAGCTGGCCTGGAAGAGGGGCAACCGGGACAGAATCCGGCACCCCGACCAGGACTAGAACCCAGTGTGCTGGCGCTGCAAGGCGGAGGATTAGCCTAGTGAGCCATGGCGCCGGCCCGAACAAGGTCTTAAACACCCCCGGGGTCCCTCGGCCACTCGGTGGAGATCGCCATGTTCACAGCCTATACCTTTAACAAAAACACTTCCTTGTGAGCAGGAAGGTCCTTGCTCTCTGCCTGACCCGCTGGTCGGCAGTGGGAGCCACCAAATTGCAGAAGAGTGAGCGAATATCCAGGAGAAAGATGATCGAGGAGTCAGAACGCTCCAGACAATAAAACGGGCTGAAAGCAGGACTGACGGGCGGCGGGAGGGCAGAGCTTTGGAGGAGCCATTGAGATGCTGGGAACCAGGAGGAAAGGACATGGGGGCACTCCCAGCCCATTCTACAGGGGGTCTTCAGAAAATGCATGGGAAATGAGCATTATAAGAAAACTGCATGGATTCCAGAATTTTCTTGCACCAAAATAAACTATTTTTAAAGCAATTTTTGTTGCTTTTTAAAAAAAGATGTGTGTATTTGAAAGGGAGAGAGAGAGAGAGAGAGAGAGAGAGAGAGAAATGATTGAGCAAGCTTCCATCCACCAGTTTACTCCCCAAAATGGCCACGACACCCAGGTCTGGGTGATGCTGAAGCCAGGAGCCTGGAACTCCATTTGGGTCTCCCACATGGGTGGCCACATTCCACTGCCTTTCCAGGTGCATGAGCAGGAAGCTGGATTGGAAATGGAGCAGCCAAGACCCAAACTGGCACTGTGATAAATACGGGGATGCTGACATTACAGGCAGTGGCTTTACCCACTGCACCACAACACGGGCCCCAATTTTCACTGATTTGAGGAACACAGAGAGTGAGACAGATATATATATATATATATATATATATATATATATATATATATAAGATATATAAGATACAAGATATAAGATATAAGAGAGACACCTTCCATCTGTTGGCTCACTTCCCAAAGGCCCACAACAGCTGGGGCTGGGCCAGAGCCTGAGTCAGGAGCTGGAAACTCAACCCAGGTCTCTCACATTGATGGCAGGGACTCAGGTCTTTGAGCATCACTGCTGGCTCCTGGGACTGCGTTGTGGAGAAGCTGGAGTTGGGAGCTACAGCTGGGACGTGAACACGGGCTCTCTGATACGGATTTACCTGCCAGGCTGAAGGCCCGCCCCTTTCCCCAAAGCTTCTGATGTCTCCTTATATTGATACCATTAAGTGCGAGTCGAGAAAGACCTGGGACGCCTTCCTTGAGGTTCCTGCACTCTCTCTGGGTGCACCTGCCCACTGGAAACTTCTCACAGACTCACTTGCATGTTTGTTTTTGGGCCCAAGCTCCAGATCAAGCAGTAGAAACCAGGCTTTGACATACACACCTTCAGGCAGAATCCTTCAATGTCAGGTTGAACCTGGCAAATTCCAGACCAGGGGCCACTTGAGAAAGACCCTGGCGTGCACTGTTCCCTGAGCTGACGCCCATGAGGCCAGAGGCAATCCAGGGACCACATGCAACTGGCAATGTTTTTGGCCTGGCTGAACAAGAAGGGGCAGAGGGTGTGCTGGGTCTTCACTAAGACACAGGAAGATGCTGCAAAAGGCTGCAGTGAACCCAGGAGCCTTACTCTGCCACCTGGCGGCGCCCTGGCGGCCCCGACCCCAGCCTCCTAGGGCATGTGGGGTGAGGCGGGCACTTCTAGAAATCGCAATCTGGAAATCCATTTCAAACGATGAAGCTGAGGCCTAAATCCTGATATAATCCCTGCGTGTGGGCTTCAGTTGCTTCACTGCTTTATGATCCAGGCATGTGTGGAGCACTGCTGCGGGCCCACCGCTGTGTTGGATGCTGTATAAGTACAGGTGCATACATGTACCGCGTTACTGGGGTATTAAGGATGGATGACGTGGCGTCAGTCGCTTACGCTGTGGCCCCAAGTCAACCACGCAGCAGGGATGGTGGTAGAAGCCCTGGGCTAGTCCACAGGGAGCACTTGCTGTCTGGCTTAGCAGAACGCAGCTTTCTGACTTGATTCTGGAAGAGTAGTCTGGAGATCACAAAAGCATGGAGGGACAGAGGCCTTGCAGAATACACTGGGGGAAGGGGTGAGTGAAACACACAGATTTCACTGAAAAGGGGCCAGGGGGCCGGTGTCTGGAGCAGTGTTAAGATGCCACATGGGGGGCTGGCTCTATGGCCTAGCAGGTAAAGCTGCCACCTGCAGTGCTGGCATCCCACGTGTACGCCGGTTCGAGTTCTGGCTGCTCCACTTCCGATCCAGCTCTCTGTTGTGGCCTGGGAAAGCAGTAGAAGATAGCCCAAATTCTTGGGCCCCTGAACCCACATGGGAGACCCAGAAGAAGCTCCTGGCCCCTGGCTTCGGATTGGAGCAGCTCTGGCCGTTGTGGCCAATTGGGGAGTGAACCAGCGGAAGGAAGACCTCTCTCTCTCGGCCTCTCCTTCTCTCTCTGTGTAACTCTGACTTTCAAGAAAATAAATAAATCTTAAAAAAAAAAAAAAAAGATGCCACGTGGGACATCTCCATGTAAGCGTGCCTGGGTTCGAGTCCCGCCTCTGCTTCCAACACAACTTCCTGTTGCTGCACCCTGGGAAGCACAGGAAGTGGCTCCAGGGCTCGGGTCCCTGCCACCCACATGGGAGATCCAGATGGAACTCCAAGCTCCTGTGGGTAGCTGGGGAGTGAACCAACAGATGGAAGATTGATCTGTGTGTGTGTCTGTGTGTGTGTGTCTTTCTCTGTCTCTCTGCTTTTCATATAAAGTGAAAAAGTAATTAAATAAAAAACAGAAGGGGCCAGAGGAGAGATCAAAGGCAAAAGCAAAGACTTGGCACTCGGGAGGCCTTGAAGGTTAAGATCAAGGCTCAGGCTGATGTCAGTGCTGTGTGAGGCTGCCTGGACACCGAGCTGGAGTTTCTCTTAAGTTTAAGGTGCTTGGCAGGAAAATCTTGGTAAATCAGGGTGGTAGCTTTTGGCCTGACGCTTGGCCTCTGGTTGACAAGGACTCAGCTACAGTTGCCTTTAAAAAGAAAGGAGTTCACCTTCCTTGAGGCGCTAATGCCCCAGCCCCTCCATGGGCCACAAGTCATCATCTAAGTACCAGGTGTTTGGATAACATGGCTAAGGGGAGAAGAGAAACATCTCTGAGTCAGCCTCCGAGGCGGGGGAACCAGGTGACGCGACACCTGCCTGCTTGGGCCCTCACACCTGCTGTGGACAGCATGGTTCCTGGAAACCCCCCCAAGCCCGAGCCCTGAGCCCAACTCGAGTCCAGAGAGCGGCCATGTACTCTTGACCTCCACGACTCCCTCTATCCTCTAACTGGACTGGTTCTTAGTACCCTCCAGCTCCGGTAATTTCGAGAACCCTGACCCAGGGTCCATGGGTAGGTTTCAGACGGGGTGGGGGGTCTGTCAACTTTCATCTGATTTTCAAAAGCTTCAGAACGTTAAGAACCACTGGGGTTTGCTCAACCAGGACAAAAAGGAAAAAGGCAAAACCTTCAGAGAAATCGTCCATGACTGCCGTCAACCTGCCTGCCCTGCCCGACACCTGCCATTCTCCTCTGGGCTCCTGTGGTTTCTGCTTGCCCACGCCTTCAGCTGCATCTTACCTTACCTGCCATTTTTTTTTTAATTATTAAAAAAACCTAGCCCCTGCGTAAGCTTTCACTGAGCTTTCTGTGTGCAGCTGCCACCTGCGCATGCGTGGGGCAGGTGCATACTGCTGCTCGCTCTCACGAAGCGAGGAGGGGCTACCCCAGGTCAGCACGCTACCTCCTGTCACTGGGTAAAGTCCCTCCTGGGAGTAAATGATTCCATTAATATACAGGAACAACGACAGGGTGATGCTCTGGAAAAGATCCCACCAGCCAGCTGAGCTCCAGGAAGTCTGGAAGTCACAGGCGATGGAATGGCGGGGAAAATGTGAAAATCACTGTAATTCCATGAGGCCAGGAAGCAAATGATTTACGGACAAAGACACAGCTGGCTCTGTGTCAGCTTTTTTTTTTTTTCTCCCTCCCCCCAGATAGTGTTACGATCCAAGTGACTCTCAAGCGCGTGCTTTTTCCAAAGCGTGGATGGAATGGGGGCCGCATGCCTGGCAAGCGCCATCAGAGGAAGCAGCGTGCAGACCCCAGGCCACCTCCCGGGCCAAGCATGCAGCGTGCGAGGCCGTGGCCACCTGCGCCCACGCCAGTTTAGAATGTGGGGTGGCGGTGGTGGTGGGGGGACAAATGAGGAGCAGAGGCGGCGAGGTGGGTCTCGTGTGCATGTTTCTCTCACCTGGAATTACAGAGATAGTTTTCAAAGCTCGGAGAACCCTGAATGTTCTCAGCGCTGAGACATTGCCCAGGTCCACGAACTCTGTCACATATCTGTAGCAAGGGAGGCGACACGCAGACACGAATGACGAACACAGACACAAACACGGACGAGCAAAAGGAAAAAAAAAAAAAAAAAAGAAGGAAACCAAGACGAAACCACAACAAAACAAAAAGTACAATACGTCACATCGGGGCCTAACCCAACACCTAACAGTAGCCCCGGGGCCGTCTTACCTGGAATTACTGAAATAGTTTTCAAAGCCCTCAGAACCCTGAAAGTGCGCAGAGCTGAAACATTGCCTAGGTTTACAAACTCTGTTATATACCTGCAGAATCAAACCAGAGTTAACTTATAACCGTGCCACTGGGCGAGGGGCTCATCACGGGGCGGGGGGGGGAGGGGGATCAAAAAGGGTCTATATACAAGCTATAGGTTCACTTTTTTCCTTGCAAAAGAAAAAAAGTTTCAAAATACAAACATATAAGGGGCACTTTTTTGGGGGGGGTTGATTTGTTTTTTCTTTTCATTGGGCAAAAGAGAATTCCAAAGTATGGTTTGGGAAGAACTGGTACCACCAGGAAGTCCTGGAGCTGGTTTTCTGAGCCAGCCCAGCGATGCACTGGGTTCAATCCGAAATTACCTAACTATCGGCCCATTTACGTCTTTTTTAGCAAAACCCAAAGCCCGGGGGATATCCAAGGCTTGCGTCCCCAAGTTCTGCACAGAATTTCTTAGAACAGGGAGACAAATTTGTACAGCATGAGCCCCCCAAGGAAGGTCCGTGTTGAGATCACCTCCCAGTTGGTGCTGGCAAAGATGCCGAAAGTCTGTGCGCTCTTCCTCATCCGAGAGCCAAGTACAAACACTGGCTAAGTCACGACTATAGGTGACGTTTTAGCCTGTGCCGTGCAAAAGCAGAGGGCTCAGGAAAATCAGACCAGGGGATCGGAGCAAAGCCTGCGTGTTAACTGCTCGTCTGATCACCAGCTCTGTGCCTAGCAAGGACACTCAAGTTTGAAAATGAACACCAGGGTATATTCATAAGGCTGAAGCTAGAAAAATGCCTTCATAGAGCGGAAAGTCAAAGTTCCAGTGACACATACCCAGTGTGCCTGATGCACCCACATTTCTAGGGTGGGAGATATCTTTGTAGCTGACGTGCACACCCAAACATGTGCAAATGCATTCTCTCAGTCGCACGCACGCATACGCGCACACACACCCATCTACACCACCCCCAAACCACAAAGTGCTTTCCCACCCTGGGAATAAAAATAAGAAAGCCTGCTGTCATTCTCTGTCGTCAGCTAAACTCCCCAAAGTGAAACATCTGCTTTGCTAAAACAGCACAGGTTACTCCAAGTGGCTGTCGTAGTGGTGGGGTGGGACACTGGGCCCCAGCAGTGGCCGGAAATTTGAGTTAGTCACCCTTCAGGAGGGCCAGTTGGCATGCCCTGGCTCACGTCTCGATTTTAAAATGTGCTCTGAGCTCTATGTCACGCAGCCTCATTAAATTAACATGTGATTAAAGGGAGAGAAAAAAAATATCCAGGAAATTCATTTTCAGCTGAAGGTTTATACCTAAAAAAGTGTCAGGTCTTCAAAGAGCCCCGCCCCCTCCCCTGTGACAGGTGCTGGGAATAAGTTAGGAGGCAGCACCTGCGGGAATCCCGCCCCACTTCCGGCCCCTGCAGGCAAGAGCCTCCAGGGCTCTCCTTACACGATTACCCAGTAATTCCCCACGCAGCTTCAGCTTCGTCTACAAACTCACACGAGCACACCCAGTTATACGACCACATGCCCCGGCAAGGCAGGAAGCAGCGAACTTACGCCATCATGATGACGCTGAAATCTAACCAGTTCCACGGATCCCGCAAGAAGGTGAAGCCGTCTATGCAGAAGCCCCTGGCGATGATTTTCACTAGTGATTCGAACGTATAAATCCCTGTGAACGTGTACCTGTCAAAGAAACGGGAGGCTTCAGGCGGCTTCTCAACGGGCAGCGGCTCTAAGCGACCCGGTAAAGACCTAACGCGGGCTTGATGCGTGGCTTTTGCGGACAGAGAGGGAGCAGAGCGGGGAGGAGCAGACGCGCCCTGGGCGTGCGCCCACCAAGCCCTCCGGGGGGCGCCTCGGCATTCTGCAGGGATTCCCAGGGATTCACTCAGCATGGCCAGCGGAGTTCTCCATCATTTGGGAGCGGGGAGGAGGCCCCAGGAGCTATTTTTAGCCTTAGAGGAGGCAAAAAAGCAAGGGAGGCCTGGACTCTGAGAACAGGGCGTCTCGAAGCACAGGGGCTGGCGGGCGCTGAGTGGGCAGCCAGGCCACGGCCCCAGGAGGGGTGGAGGTGGCGACAGTGACTTCCAGGGCACGCCTCCCCTTTCTAGCGGGTGCTTCTGGGGACACTACCTGAACTCCACGTGCACCGTCAGCCAGCCCGCCCGCTGTGAGACAGAGAGCAACCATTTCATTCCCTTTGTGGATAAACTGTGGCAAAGCAAGATTTGGGGACTGAGAAAGCTTCAAAACAAACAGGCAGAGGAATCGTGAGCTACTTACTCCACATTCTTCGACCAGTCGGGAGGGTTACTGAAAGTCATGAATACACAGTTGGTCAGGATAGTGCACATGATGATCATGCTAAACACTGTGGGGGGAGAGTCAAGGGCATAGACAACGCTGCTCCACAGGCTCGCAGCCCTGACCCCGCCCCGGCTGCTTCTGTGCACTGACTGCTGTGCCTGTGCACCGACTGCACTGTGCACTGACGGCTGTGTCTGTGCACCGACTGTACCTATGCACTAACTGTACTGTGCACTGATAGCTGTGCCTGTGCACTGACTGTACTGTGCACTCATGGCTGTGCCTGTGCACTGACTGTACTGTGCACTGACGGCTGTGCCTGTGCACTGACTGTACTGTGCACTGATGGCTGTGCCTGTGCACTGACTGTGCTGTGCACTGATGGCTGTGCCTGTGCACTGACTGTAATGTGCACTGGCAACTATGCTTGTGTACTGACTATACTGTGCACTGATGGCTGTACCTGTGCACTGACTGTACTATGCACTGCTGGCTGTGCTTGTGCATGGACTGTACTGTGCACTGACTATACTGTGCACTGATGGCTATACCTGTGTACTGACAACTGTGCCTATGCACCGACTGTACCTGTGCACTTAACTACTTGTGCACTGACGGCTGTGCCTGTGCACTGATTGTACTGTGCACAGATGGCTGTGCCTGTGCACTGACTGTACCTGTGCACTGACTATACAGTGCACTGATGGCTGTACCTGTGCACCGACTGTACTGTGCACTGACTGTACCTGTGATCAGAAGTCTCCCCCTCCACTGGCCTCCTGATCCTTCAGAGGCGAGGGTAAATTAAATGTGCACTACTCAGCCCTCCTTTATTGTTAAGAAGCTCACATCTCGAGTTATACTGGCAAATCTCCACGTACTTAGTGGTTAATATCCCCTCCTCCCCCTGCCCCCAATTCCACAGAGCTGTCTGTCCTCGGGGGCAAGATACCAGCAAAATGCCCTGTCTGGGGAGGGTCAAGGACACCTGCACTCCTGAGAGGCTGCAGTGCAGCAAGCCTGCCTCCCTGTCCCGCAGCACCCACAGCAACTCATGTTGTTGCCATGTCAGCTGTACCCAGGACCTTGCTTAGCTGTTTGTGTGTTGTCTACTGAGAGAAATGAGGCCATCTGGGGGCTGCGTGAGGTCCTCAAACTCACACTGTTCCTCTCACGAGCCCAGGGAGCCACCGCGGCTGACTTGTAGCTGACTCCCTCCCTCTTGTTTACGCATTTGCTGTCCATACCCTCCCCGTGGAGCTGTATGAAGGGAACATCCTCGCAGCTGAACCAATAGCGTGCTATTTAGAACCATCTCCCGCTCTAGCGGAGCAGAGGAGTCCATTCTGAATCACTGATTCCTTCCAAACCCTGGACTTCAGGCTTCGGCTGCTCATTAACAACAGACTTCAGAATCGGGTAGCTCGGGGCAGGTACTCTGGCACAGCGGGTTAACGCCCTGGCCTGCAGCACCGGCATCCCATATGGGCGCTGGTTCAAGACCCGGCTGTTCCACTTCCAATCCAGCTCTCTGCTATGGTCTGGGGAAGCAGTAGAAGATGGTTCAAGTCCTTGGGCCCCTGCACCCCCGTGGGAGACCTGGAGGAAGCTCCTGGCTCCTGGCTTCGGATCAGCACAGCTCCAGCCGTTGCAGCCATTTGTGGAGTGAACCAGTGGATGGAAGACCTTTCTCTGTCTCTCTGCCTCTCCTCTCTCTGTGTAACTCTTTCAAATAAATAAATAAATCTTAAAAAAAAAAAAAAAAAAGAATTGGGTAGCTAAAGTTTCAAAACTCACTCAGCCAGGGTGCAACGCTCTCCAAAGCGTGGGGCTAGACAGTGTTAAAAGCCAGCCATGAAAGTTCAAAGTCACCCTGCAAAATGGCTAAGCCTACCATGTAACTTTTTCATTTGTCGTGTATATTCATGTATTAATGAGATGTCATGGGCCAAATGGGAGCAAATTGGCATTTTTCCGTTTGAGGCAAGCAAAAATATCAGAAGAGACCCAGACCTCAGCTGCGGCTGGCATCTAAACCCTGCCACGAAGGAGGCTCTCTCTCCCGGAGACTGTCTCCCAGACTTCCCAAGCCTATGGCTCAAGATGCCACAAAAATGCAAGGCAGATCCCTGCAACATTCATTCAGCTCTCCGGGACTTAGGCAGGAGCACTGTTATCTTACTGAGTGAACAGGCTGAACAGTGTGCCACGGCTGGAGTCACTAGAAAAAGCGAAGACTTTGCTGAAAGCTGACATCTTCCCGTCCCTCGTCCTGACACCTGCGGAAACCCAGGTTCCCACAAAACCGATCCCAGGAGAAAAGAACCGGCCGAGGCTCTGCTTGGGGGATTCAGCAGGCTTTGCATGCCTGGCCGGACAGCCAATTGCACTACAGGTAAAAAAAAAAAAAAAACAAAACAAAACCAATAACCAAAACCTCCACACCCAGCTCAGCTGTCGAACCTGGGAAGTGTACACCTGTGACCTCGCCGTCACTCCACTGGCTCCACGTTTGCAGAAAAGGATATGAATGTATCAAAATTTTAATAGCTATTCTTCTTATCAGGTTAAAAGGACTTAAAATGTACAAGGCAGGCGTAGCACTAAATCTGAAGAGAGTTTTCCCTCTGTTTAATACTACAAAGGTCTGTGGAGAAAGAAAGAGAGAGAGATCATTAAGCATAGCTATGCATCACCATCTGAAACAGTTCTTTTTCCAGGCAAGAAATAAAGAAACTCAAAGGCATTTAACAGTTCTACTTCCTGATTTGGTTTTTAAGGCAAGCACCTTAAAGGCAATGTTTTTACCCTCCCTCCTCCCACCTCCCACCCCTGCCCTGCCCCCAGGTTACACAAACTGAGAGCCCCTAAGTTCAAAACCCAAACCACAGAATGCTCCAGAATCCGAAACTTCCTGAGTGCCAATAGGATGCTTAGAAAGTTCTGGAATTTGGGACATTCCAGATTTCAGAGTTTGGGGATGTGGCGTGTTCAACCTGTAGAGTCTGCGCAAATATCCCCAAATCTGAAAAACCACTTCCGGCCCTGAACATTTTGGAAAGAGATACTTAATGGGTCTTTACAGCGGGTTGGCAGAATCTTAGCAGTGCTACAGAAGAAACGTGGCTCTTGGAGAAACAAGCAGTGTGAATTACACCTAAGATATCCTTCCGGGTTCTGGTCGTTCGCTTAGGATTCACTTGCTTAAGAAATGTTGACTGCACTTGGTTGAAATGTTGATTGGCACTTGGGTTTTGTCAGTGAACAGGGCAGTCCTGGCCTGGAGCTTATACGCAAATACAGAAGGCAGGCAATACATTTAACAAAAACATGAGTAAGGGAATTACAGACAGCGTGACACCCAGAAAGTGGCAAGTGCTACGAAAAAAGAAAAGGGGGGGGGGGTGCCAGAGAGAAAACCAAGGTAACCAGGCGAGGGGCTGGCTGGAGGGAGGGGGATGGTTCCAGAGGAGGCGGGCAGGGTAAGCCTGATAAGAAGAGACCTTCGAGTGAGGACTGCAAGGAAGAGGAAGAGGTCTTCCCTCTGCCAGTGCCTAGCTGCCAAGTCTGCGCTGTCTGGCTTTTAAGAGCCTCCGCTCTCAGCCTCGCCAAGATCATCCAGTCCCACTCCCTAGTGTGAAGCTTCCTGTGCGGCCACACCAGTTCCTGTCCCCGGAACAGGTCATCGTGATGTGCAACTTGGGCCTTTGTTTGCACATTGCTCATCTTACCCAGGATGCCCTGCTCTGAAAATTCAGTTCAGTTAAAGTATCTTTTGAGCATTTCTTCTGCACCAAGCATTGTGTGCAGTCCAGGGACATGCAAGGAGAAAAACTGTCCTTTTAGGGGGGATGTTCATGCGGCCTGGTACTTAGGATGCAGGAAGTTAACAAAGCTCAGTAGGTGTAAAATGTGAGAGGCAGTAGGAGGGAGAGACAGGGTGCTCAAAAGGGAAGGTCGCTAATATTTGGAAGGGGATTCAAAGGGTAAAATGGAGGGGTCAATGCCATGGCACAGAGGGATATCACGACTTGCAATGCTGGCATCCCATATGGGAATGTGAGTTCAAGTCCTGGCTACTCCACTTCTGATCCAGCATCATACTAATGCCCGTGGGAGGCAGTGGAAGATGGCTCAAGTGCTTGACCCCTTGCCAAACACATTAGAGACCTGGATTGAGCTCTTGGCTCTGGCCTGGCCCAACTCTGGCTACTGCAACCATCTGGGGAGTGACTCAGCAGATGAAAGAGCTCGCTCTCTCTCTCTCTCTCTCTCTCTCTGCCTTCCAAATAAACTAATGCATACATCCTTTTTTAAAATAAAGGATAAAAAGGGATGTAGATAAATCAATTGGGCAGATAAAGGGGGACGGGCCAGCAAGGAAAGGGAACAGCAGCTCTTAACTGCGGGTTGTTTGCAGGGAACAGACAGGGAATTCAGCGCTGATGGAGGACATGGTGGCCCAGGAGCACAGGATGTAGGGTGCTGCAGGAGGGTACAGGGGGCTCCTGAACTGTGCCTGCCTCAGCAGACTAGGCCAGCGGCAAGCAGGGTCTGAGAAGCTCCCTGGGGAGGGACGGTGCACATGGCTTTTTATTGTTCTAACTCAGAGCAATGCATGCTTATAATTGTTTTTAAATGGATCATAAGATTAAGTTCCATCCCATTACCCAGTGAGAACTTTGCTGCCAGTTTTTTTTTCTATATCCTTCCAGAAAATTTCCATGTAAATACAAGCATATAGATCGATCCTTAAAAAGTCTCTCTCATAGGATTGTACTATAAATATTCTTCTGCACCTTGCAATAAGAAGATGAACCCCCACAAAGAAAAGCCCAGGACCAGATGGCTTCACTGTTGAATTCCACCAAGTGTTTAAAGGAGAATTAACACTACCTCCCCCCAAAAAATAGAAGCGAAGGGAACATATCCCGACTCATTCTATAAGACCAGTATTACCTGCATACAAAAACCAGACAAAAAAGTCAGAAGAAAATTCTAGACTCATGCTCCTTAGGAACATGGACATAAAAAGCCTTGGCAAAAATGCCAGCAAAATTGAATCCTGCAGCATATTTAAAGAATCATACACCATGACCAAGGGAGAGATGGTTTAGCCGTGAGACTCAGCTGATGGAACAGAGCAGACTAATAAAACAGTGGAGAAAGACCCTGGGGACCGTCCCAGCAGGTGCAGGAAAGCAGCAGACAAAACTCAACAACTTTCCATCATAGGAGCAGTCGACGATGGAAACCAGACGGAGAAGGCACTTCCTTTCCCCGGTGCAGTCACCTGTGAGGGCCCCACAGCTAACGTGACCCCTGCTTCTGTTTCCACTCTTGCCCTGCCCTCCGCAGCCAGGCTTTGAGCTGAGGGCAGGGCCCGAGCTGGCACTCACCCCCACCCCCACAGCTCCCGGCAGGTGCCCAGCCGTCCCCAAACCGCCCTCTGCAAAGCACCTGTGGGCCTCTGTGCTCCCATGGCAACTCACGAGGCGCCAATCCGGCCCTTCTCAATCACCTCCTCGTTCAAGCTCGGGATATTCCCGTGCAGGAAGGGTCACCGGCACCCTCCCGCCTTACGAAAGCCCAGGAGAGGCGCCACCTATCGGTGGTCAATGTGAGCGCTCGGAGCCATGCCCTTGCTTCTACAGGTTGAAGTCAGTGTGGGGGCTAGTGAGCAAGAGAGGGGGACCCCAGGGGTCCTCGATTCTAAAGCAGCCACACAGCAAAGAGAGGACTGGCCCAGATCACAGAACCTAAAACCCACCAGGCCAGGCCTTTACGAAGGCACCCGCCCACCTTGGTAGGCAAGCAGCAGAATTCTGAGAAGTAACACAGTCCCCACCTCCCAGCCCCCCTTCCCTGGTCTGGCCGTGATGGACACACAGGGAGCTAGAGGTACCTCGAGGGTATTTCCTATCGCAGAATCAATGCCTGCGGTGCCTGGCATGCAGCAGGTGCTCATAATAAATGTCGAGCGGCTGATGGACAAATGCCTGTGTTGGACGAGGTTGGGGGGGCAGGGAGGAGAGGAAGACACGAGGGAATTGAAACGTGTGCTCTGGTTGATGAAAAGCCAGGAGGTGGTCAGCGTTCTGAGGGTGGCAATGAGGTGGCACCTGGGAGGGCGCCCAGCCCGAGGGAGGCTGGGTACCTTCAGTGAGGCACACAGCTACATGTCCAGAGGCCGGGCAGAGCAAGTGGAGTGGGGGTGGGGGATAGGAAAGGGTGCACAAGAGTAGGAAGCTTCACTGCTGTGGGCAATGATTAGGTACTGCATGTAAAAACACTAGGAAAAGGGGTCCCGGATGTCTTCACCCTAAAGAAACGACGGATGCTGGAGGAGACACCTGTGTGTGCCCTGACTTGAACAAGGTGTACCTGTGTCTCGACACCACACGGCACCCCATAAACATGGACAGCCTCTGTGAGACTACTACAGCGGCTATGATGTTGTAGGTAGAGAGGTTTTGTTTAGGACACGTCACATGTGACGTAGAGATTGCGTAGTGATTGCTGCACTTGGCATAAAAGATGTCTGTCGCTGCCCATGTCTTCATCAAGCGTAAAACCAGGAGGTCTTTATTCGACTGGGACAGAAATCAACATCTGGTCCGCACTGAACCTCCCGAGAGGCAGCTGAGTCCTTTGTACATAGAGCAGCTGACTGCACAATGGTACGATGAACTCCATCACCAATAAGGTGTACAGAGAGCTTACACACAGCTGTTCATAAATGCATCTTTTGCATAAAGCAAGATGCTGTTTGGACCAACCTAGGTACTCAAAGCTTAGGAGTTTTGCCTTTTGACGCTGTTGATGCTAATGAGAGAGAGAGAGAGAGAGAGAGAGAGAACGGCACACATGAGCGTCAGCAGGCTTGCCCAGGGAAGTGCAGGATGCAAATGCTGACTGCTCTCCGCATTTATGCATTGCATAATTTTATGCAGCTCTACAAGTGTGCAGCCCGAGGACCACTGATGATACCCGTATGCACACAAATATCGGCTGCCATGGCAGCGTCCCCAGTAAAATTCTGTGGACACAGACCTTAAGGCTTCATGTGAGGTTCACACGCCCAGCTGTTTGAGAATGTAAAAACTGTCCTTAGCTCGTGGGTTGTGCAAAGACAGATGGCAGAGCTGATCTGCCCGCTTGGGAGCCAGACTAAGGCCAGACTGCTGCAATGAGAGTCATCTGAGCACTCTTCTTAAAAAAAAAAAAGCCTACTCACAAATCCCACCTGCAGAGTTCTCACTAAACATGTCTGCAGGACGATCCGGAAATCTGAGCTCACCGGGTCTGGGGGTCCCCGGATCAATTCTCTGGTCCCAGACCACGTGGACCCTGAAAAGTGTGGCTTCCACCTGGCCTAGGGTCTGGCTGAGCCCCTGCACCTCTCCTGGTCTCACATAAGGTGAGGGGGCTGCCCAGGTCCTTCCCAGCTCTCACGTGGGGTTCTGGGGTTTGGGGAATTCACAGAGCCGCTGGGGTTAAGTGCAAGCCGGCAGCAAAGTCCCCTGTCAGGGAGAAAGCCCATTGTTACCGAACCCCCTAGCGTTATATCTTGGTAGAATTCTCCTGGCTGGGTGTGTCCAGGCCAGGGTCGCGCTGGACGCTCTCCCGACAACCCCGGGCGGCGCC